AAGCTAGCACTCTACCACTTGAGCCACAGCGCCACTTCCGGCTTTTTTCTTTTTGCTTATGTGGTGCTGAGGAATCAAACCCAGGGCCTCAGGCATGCAAGGCAAGCGCTCTACCACTGAGCCACCTTCCCAGCCCACTGGGCACAATTTTTATAGGTATTCTCCTCAGAAATTAACATTCTCTATGCCAATCTGGTTTGGAGGAAACTCAGCTTTAAATGCATGGGGAAAGACTTCTGATTTGGATGTCAATACGAGATATTTCACCTTCTCTATTATGCAACTTTTTTTTGGCCAGTCCTAGGGCTTGAACTCAGGGCCTGGGCACTGTCCCTGAGCTTCTTTTGCTCAAGACTAGCACTCTACCTCTTGAGCCACAGTGCCACTTCTGGCTTTTTCTGTGTATGTGATACTGAGGAATCAAACCCAGGGCTTCCTGCATGCTAGGCAAGCACTCTACCACTAACTAAGCCACATTCCCAGCCCCTGTTTTAAAATGTGCAGTTCTCATGGACTTTGATCTCCTGCCTAACTCTACCACTAAACCACATTACTAGCACCATTCCCCTTTTCTTTTTTTTTGGGGGGGGGAGTCCGGTCGTGGGGCCTGAACTCTTGGCCTGGGCGCTGTCCCTCAGCTCTTCAGCTCAAGGCTAGCACTCTACCACTTGAGCCACAGCACCACTTCTGGCTTTTTTTTTCTGCTTATGTGGGGCTGAGGAATCGAACCCAGGGCCTCAAGGATGCAAGGGAAGTGCTCTACCACTAAGCCACCTTCCCAGCTCCACCATTCTCCTTTTCAAGATGAGGAAATTGAAGCCAAATAAAAATGGTTGATCCACAAAATTGCAGCAGTAGAGGCTGAGACTAAATGCTATTCCAAGGCTCCAGGTTGACATTGACATTACTACTGCTTAAAGACTTCAGAGAGGGAGGGGGGGAAGGGGTGGGAAGGAGAAGGATTGGGATTGGGGGGGAGGGGGGAGGCTGGGAAGGGATGTGAAGGGTAAACCAAAGGAGGAGGCTGCAATGCTTGGTAAGAAATGTACGCATTATCCTGCCCATGTAATTTTAACCCCTCTGTACAGTATGTTCACAAATAAAATAAAATTAAATTAAAAAAAAAAAGAATTGGAGATGTGGTTCAACAGAAAGCCCTTAGCTGTGAGGCCCTAAGGTCCAACCCGAAGAAATGGAAAGAAAAGCTTCCTAAACACAAAATAAGAATTTGTCCTCAGAATGAATATTTCAATAAACTTTACAAAACCAAAAAAAAAAGACTTCAGAGAGCTAACACTGATGGGCTGTTTGCATTGGCTTGACTGCTCCTTCCTCTTGCTCCATTTAAAGTCCCAAATCTTCTCCATCTAAACCAGAGAGAAAGCTGAGTGCTCATAGCTAACACCTGTAATCCTAGCTACTTGGTAGGCTGAAATCTGAGGATTGCGGCTTGAAGCCAGCCTGGGCAGAAAAGTCTGTGAGAACCTTATCTCCAATAAACCACTCAGAAAAAGCCAGAAGTGGTGCTGTGGCTCAAGTGGTAGAGCACTAACCTTGAGCACAACACAAAGAGGCTCAGGGACAGCGCTCAGGCCCTGAGTTCAAGCCCCATATCTGATAAAAATTATATAAAATAGAAAGCAAAAATTCTTGAATCTGAGATTTTTTTATTTTTTGGTGTTGGCCTTGGGACTTGAACTCGGGTCCTAGGCACTGTCCTTGAGCTTGAGCTTTTTCTGGTTGAAGGCTAGCCCTTTATCACTTGAGTCACAGCTCCACTTCCATTTTTTTGGTGAGTAGTTGGAGATAGGAGTCTCTTGGACTTTCCTGTCCTTCCAGACTTTGAACAGCAATCCTCATATCTCAGCCTCCTGAGCACCTAGGATTACAGGTGTGAATTTTTCTTCTAAATTTAAGAAAACCAGGCCTGGGAATGTGGCTTAATGGTACAGTGCTTGCCTAGCATGCATGCATGCATGCACACACACACACACACACACATACACACACACACATGAAACAAAGGCAGGGTTTGACTTTAAGATGAGTGTATCTCTTTGCTCTTAATTATTCTTAGTGTTACACTTTTATTACTTAAGCTTAGAGTCTAAGAATGACCTGTTCTTTAACTATGTGACTATTATAATTAGGCATCTCTTTTAGGAAAGAATGCATTCTGCTTTAAAACTGATGTTTAGCGGGGTGTGGGTGGCACACGCCTGTAATCTCAGCTGCTCAGGAGGCTGAGATCTGAACATCCAGGTTCAAAGCCAGCCTGGGCAGGAAAGTCCATGAGACTCTTATTTCCAGTAAACCACCAGAAAACCGGAAGTGGCATTATAGCTCAAGTGGTAGAGCCCTAGCCTTAAGCAAAAGAGCTGAGGGACAGTGCCCAGGCTAAGAGTTCAAGCCCCATGACCAACAAAAAACAAACAAACAAAAAAAAACACTGATGTTTAGGGCTGGGAATGTGGCTTAGTAGTAGAGTGCTTGCCTAACATGCATGAAGCCCTGGGTTCAATTCCTCAGTACCATATAAGCAGAAGAAGCCAGAAGTGGCACTGTGGCTCAAGTGGTAGAGTGCTAGCCTGTGCAGAAGAGCTGAGGGACAGCGCCCAGGCCCATAGTTCAAACCCCTCAACTGACAAAAAAAAAAAAAAAAGTGGCATCTGGGAAAAGCCTTTGGCTAGGGTGGATATGAAGTAGAAAAGGTAAAAGGGAAAATAATTGTGATGTTTTTACCTTGGTCAAAATGATGGTGTTTGCTGTGTGCCAGTAGCTCACACCTTTAATCCTAGCTATTCTGGGCTGAGATATGATCACAGTTGTAAGCCAGCCCCCAAGGAAAAAGTCCTGAGACTTTTATCTCAAATTAGTCACAGTAAAAAGCCAGGAGTGGTGTTATAGCTCAGGTAGTAGAGCACTAGCCTTGAACAAAAGAAGCTTAGGGACAGCTCCCAGGCCCAGAGTTCAAGGCTCAGGACCAGAAAAAAAAAAAAAAAAAGAAAAAAATTAATAAAAGGTGGCATTTGAAAATGCCTTCTTTTGGGCTGGGAAGGTGGCTCAGTGGTAGAGTGCTTGTCTTACATGCATGAGGCCCCCCCCACATAAGCAGAAAAAAAAAAGCCAGAAGTGGTGCTGTGGCTCAAGTGGTAGACTGCTAGCCTTGAGCTGAAGAGCTGAGGGACAGCGCCCAGGCCCAGAGTTCAGGCCCCACGACCGGACCCCCCCCCCAAAAGAAAAGAAAAGGGGAATGGTGCTAGTAATGTGGCTTAGTGGTAGAGTTAGGCAGGGCCTAACTGCAGCACTTGCAGTTTTCTGGTGGTTTATTGAAGATTAGAGTCTCACAGACTTTCCTGCCTAGGCTGGCTTTGAACCTGATCCTCAGATCTCAGCCTCCGGAGTAGCTGGATTACCGGTGTGAGCCACTAGCACCCTGCTCAAATGCCAACATTTTGACCAAGACATTTTTTGTTTTACCTTGATCCTCCCCAGGGAAAACAGGACCCACCCCCTCATAACTCCCCTAGTATTCTTCTTCCCAGTTGCTATCTCTGGTTCACTGTTAATACCATCAACCCAACCAAAACCACTAAAGAAAGCTCTTCCAGTCTCTAAGGGCACTGTCCTCCACTTCTTTCCTTCCCCCTAGCACAGGCAAGCTTAGTCATCTGGTTATCCCACAGAGAACTATTTGGTACTTGAGGGCAGTTGCTGTGTCCTTTCCCCAGTGTTTGGGAAAGATAAGTGGACAGCCTTTCATCTAATAAAGGTGGTATAGAGTACAACACTTTTTCCTCAGAATACCACTGATGTTTACTGAAAAACACTGATAATACTGCTTAAGTCTGGCCGTTGGGTGGAGGCTCCAAGGTGTATAGAAACAGCACTAGGATAGAACTTCCAAGTTCTTGTCTAGGCTCTGAGAAGGAACTATCACCTTGAAGTAGTATATTCTTTACCAGATAAAGTCTCCGTTCCACAGGGGTCAAACATTCTGGCATCCACAGAGAGAAGTCTGTAGATGGAAGTAAAGGGAATCCAACAATCTGAAATTGCTCAGTCTGTTTACATTCTGTGGAGAGACAACCAACTACAGATTCTTAAAACAGCCAAGAACTGGTGTTGTAGACAGTACAGAAGCTCTCCAATTTAGATTCCCATGCCTATTCTTTGAAGGAGGAGATGGGAGCAGCAGTGATGGCTGGTAGTGGCCTCACTTACTGAGTACCATCCCAGCCTCATCAGAGCTGGACTTTGCCAGGGGGAATTCTCACATGACCACAGGCGATTCAGCAATTCTCAGAACTTTGGTTCCCATAGCCAGGATCAAGGTCTCAGCCAGACCTATACAGAACCTTCCTATAGGGTACCAGATCTGAAAGGAAAATGACTAGAAAGCAAAAACCACACGTGGACTTAAGGTAGATAAAAGATAAGCTACATCCTCATCCAAAGCCGGCACTTTCTGAGCACCCTCACAATTGCAGTACTCAGTCTAGGAAGGTTTTCTGTTTTTGTTTTTTAATCAGGCCAAAGGAGATTAAATCTTGCATCCCTCTCTCGGTTCTGCGTTGCCTGCCCAGCCAGAGAAGTTCAGGGTAGGTCCGGCCACATTCCCTCTTATCTGTCCCGTTTAAAAAACCAAAAAAACGCAATTAGCAAGGGTCTGGACCGTGACTTGGAGCAGGCACCGAAAGAGGAAGGCTTCCAGATATTTCCAGCAGTTCTGGGGGCAGGCCACGTGCCAGGCACGGGACTGAGGTTCGAAGACACCAGACCAGGTCCCTCCTTCAACGATAACCTCAAACTGCCACCCCACCCCCACTAGCCCCAAATCAGCGCTGATCGGGGCTGCGGAGCGCAGGGCCCTTCCGTGCTGGGGCCCCGCCGGGCTGGGGCCCCGCGGCTGGAGCTGGGGAGCCGCGGCCGGCCCGGGAGGGGTGAGGCCGGTTGGAGCGGGCTTCCCACCCTTCTTCCTTTTTTTTTTTTTTTTTTACCAGGCGAAGGTCCCCGGGTCCGTGCACCACCAGTGAGAGGTTCTCGGCCTTCGCTGCCGCCGCCATGTCGCTTTCTCCCTCGCTCCGTAGTGCGGGCTGCAGTGGAGGCCGCGGTCTGCGGGGCAGGCGGTGGTTCTGGTCCGTCACCCGCGGGGCGAAGGGTCCGGGGTCAGGGCGGAGGCGGGGCCTGGACTTCGAGAAGCGCGCGCACTGGGGCGCGCGGGCCTGGAGGGCCAGGGGCGGGGTCACCCGCGAGCTTGACAGCTGAGGGCGGGGCTGGCGCGAAGGGGCGGGGCCTCCTCCTCCTTGACAGACAGCCGGGGGCGGGACTGGCGCGGAGGAGCTGGGCTCGCCTGGCGGGTGGGGGGGGGGGGGGGGGGGGGGGGAGAGGGTGCGCCGCGCGGTGGGCAGCCGCGCACCTCCTCCCGTCTGCCGCGTGCTCTTTCTGTCCGCATCCCTTAGACCAGATTGCCAAAAAGGTGGCCACCGGCTGCTCGCTGCAGAAAAATGGGCTTGGGGAATGTGGGCAGTGGTAGTGAGGGCAGGTTCTCAGGACCAACACTGTCAATCTAAGCCCGAGGTGAGGCCCAAGGGTCTGTCACTAAAGTGACAACCATGGCACTGCAGGTAGCACACTGTGTGCCTTGCAAGATGCAGGACCCATGTTGGTTCCGTGACCCCAGCATCCAGCAAAAGGTCCAGCTTGAGTCGGTGTGAGTGAATGAATGAGTTCGTGCATCATCCTAGGGGCCAGTGCCTCAGTATGTACAGAAGGGAATGAACCGGCCCTTTTATTTGGAAGCAGCCTCTCCTCTCAGAACAACTGTGTGGTTTTTGGTGGGGTTTGAGCTGCCTTCCCAGTAGACTGCTCCCTCTTTCAAGGACTTCCAGGGACCCCACCCCCTCAGCCTGGGGAGGGGGGATCTCTCCCCAGTCCTTGTCCCTGAAGATGTATCTTTGTGGCCCTGACTGCATGCTAGATCCAAAGGTCCCAAGCATGTCTTTCCAATAGGTAAAGCTGGAGGAAAAGGCTCTAGGAATGACTTAAGAGTTGAGGGCCACTTGAAGTAGACACTTCTAGATTTTTATTTATTTTTTAAAGTTATTTTTTTTTTAGCCTTTCAAAATTTTTGTTACTTCTTGATTTTTAGGTGGAAAAGCAGAACTCATGCAAAAGATAAAGGGTTAATTGGTAAAGATTCTTAAGAAACTGATCTTCACATTTTTTAATTTAGAAACATTCAATCCATGAGAATGAGTTAACTTTAGTTAAAACAAAAGTGTGAAACAAGGGCTGGGAAGGTGGCTCAGTGGTAGAGTGCTTGCCTTGCATGCAGGAGGCCCTGGGTTCAATTCCTCAGTACCACATAAGCAAAAAGAAAAAAGCCGGAAGTGGCGCTGTGGCTCAAGTGGTAGAACACTAGCCTTGAGCTGAAGAGCTGAGGGACAGCGCCCAGGCCCCAAGTTCAGGCCCCATGACCGACCCCTCCCCCCAAAAAAAATATCAATATGTAGACACGTCTAGCCTTCTAAATGTAAGAGCCCTGAAAGTTATACATAGCAAGGGAAAGAAAAAGATATGATAGCAAGTAGCAAGACTGTAGGACTACAGTTGTATTAATAAGAAATTTAATTGTGGCATTAAAATATTTATTGCTGGGTTGGCTATCAGTGGCTGCTGCCTGTAATCCTAGCAACCAGGGAGACTGAGATGTTAGGATCAAAGTTCCAAGCTAGCCCAGGCCGGACAGTCCCTGAGACTTACCTCCAATTAACCACCAAAAAAAACAGTAGTTGGAGGGCACCTGTGGCTCATGCCTGTAATCCTAGCTACTCAAGAGGCTGAGATCTGAGGATCTCGGTTCAAAGCCAGCCCAGGCAGAAAAGTCCATGAGACTCTTATCTCCAATAAACCGTAGAAAACTGGAAGTGGTGCTGTGGCTCAAGTGGTAGAGCACTGGCCTTGAGCTGGAGAGCGCAGGGACAGCGCCCAGGCCCAGTGTTCAAGCCCCAGGCCCAGAGTTCAAGCCCCACAACCCACAAAAAAAAAAAAAAAAAAAGGAAGTGGAACTGTGGCTCAAGTGGTAGAGCACTAGTCTTGAGCACAAAAACTCAGACAGTGCCTAGGCCGAGTTCAAACCCCAAGACCAGGACACACACACCACACCCACACAAACACACACCACAAAAATTCGTTTGTATGTGTAAATTCAGCACTGGTTGTGGGGCTGGGAATGAGGCTTAGTGGTAGAGTGCTTGCCTAACTCATGAAGCCCTAAGTTTGATTCCTCAGTCCCATATAAACAGAAAAAGCCAGAAGTGGCACTGTGGCTGAAGTGGTAGAGTGCTAGCCTTGAGCAAAAAAAGCTCAGGGATGGTATCCAGGCTCTGACTTAAAGCCCCAGCACTGGCAAAAACAAAACAAAACAAAACCAAAAAAACTCATGGTCTTATTTCTGGACAAGTTAAAAATGCCACCCAAATAATGCCTCAAACAAGAAAAAGTTTTTTTTTTAAAGCCTCTTGGAACAGCTAGATTGTTGTTGTTATAGAATTCAAATGACTTGTGGCAGTTCTATACAATTTCCTAACAGAAACCAGTATTCGTCACCGTGAGAAACAGACTTGCCCAAGCATTTTACTCAATAAACCATAAAGTGCTTTTTTTTTTTTTTTGACAACAGAGAGATAAAGTGCTTTCTTTGTCTCTGTGGTGGCCTGCCTGCTTGGCATAATTTCTCTAGACTTCTGCTTGACTTGCTTGTTTGACTTGCCCAGACATCACAGGACTAAGACACTCTTCTCCACTAAATACAGCTTTAACAAGTTGTCCAGAAACTTTACTTGGAATTTAAAAATTAAAATGCAAGATTCAGGTCTTGGGACATGGCTTAAGTGATTAGAGTGCTTGCCTAACAAGAATAAGGCCCTGAGTTCAAACAGAAGGAAAGAGAGACAGAGACAGACAGAAACAGAGATAGAGAGACAGAAAGAGAGAAAGATCATTCAAGCCCAGGCCGAAGTCTGAGGCTTGAGGTTCAAAACCAGTCCTGAGACACTTATCTCCAGTTAATGAGCAAAGAGACAGTAGGGGTATGGCCCAAGTAGTAGAACACTAACCTTGAATAGGAAAAGCTAAGCAACGATGTGAGGCCTTAAGTCCAGGCCCTAATATAGGCACAATTCCCCCACCTCACCCCTCCCCTTACCCCCCCCCCCCAAATAGGATTCAGTTCTCTGAAGCCACCTATGTAGAAAAAGGAAATGAACACATCATAAATAGGGAGCCATTGAAGATCTAGATTATATAGTTTACTAACAAGAAAAATCAGTGTACCACAGGACTTTGATGTTTCAAAGGTCAGAACAGTTGGGAAATCTTTGGCAGTACTTGGGAAAATCTCTTTCGAAACTTGGTTGTGGACAGTCACTTCAGCATAATGTAGACTGAACTTTCATCTTAGACTAATCTGGGGTAGAATTACATCATGTCTTTGTTTTGTTATTACTATTATTGTCATTTGAGGTAGGATCTCAATATTTAGCTCAGGCTGACCAGGATCTTAGTATATAGTCCAGACCAGCTTCAAACTCAGTCTTCTTGTTTTAGCCTCCCAAGTGCTAGGAGTACAGGTGTGATCACTACACCCAGCCACAATTCTTATGATTTATCAGGTATACAAAGCTAGACAGGTTACCCTAAATGTGAAAAGGGTTGTTTGTTTTTTGTGCCAGTTCTGGGGCTTGAACTCAGGGCGTGGGAGTTGTCCGTTACATTTTTTTTTGGTCAAGGCAGCTGTTCTAGCATTTGAGTCACAGCTCCACTTCCACCTTTGCTTTTTTGGTGGTTAATTGAAGATAACAATTTCATGGACCTTCCTGCCCAGGCTGGCTTTGAACCTTGATCCTCAGATCTCAGCCTCCTCAGTAGCTAGGATTACAGGTATTAGCTACCAGCAACTCAGCCTACAAGTTCTTTTTTAGCTTTAAAGTAAGGAAAAATATTGACTACTCCATAATGTTCATCTGTGGAAATAGGCAGTATGTTAGGATAAAATCCCAAAGTATCTTGAAAACTTGGAATAAATCATATGACTCAAATAAAAGGGATAATGTCAGATACCAATAGAAATAACATAGCTATTTTAGTTTGGATCTTGAGTATTCCTCGAAAGGTCCGTTTGTTGGACATTTGGTTCCCAGTTTGGCACAGTTGTGAGGTGGGATAAACATGAAGATGTGAGGTCTAGTGGGAGGATCATTAGAGGTGTACCCTTAAAGAAGACTCTTTGGCCTTCCTCATGTCTCTTGCTTCCAGCCATGGATGACTGGCTTTGCCTAGCTAAGTATTACTTCCCAGTTGTGTTGCCCCAAGGCCAGGTAACCTTGGACTTAAACTTCCAAAACAGTGAGCCAAAATAAATCTTTGTAAGTTGATTATTTCAGCCTTTCTAAAAGGATAAACCAAAATAACTTTTATCTCATAAGTTGATTTCCTCAGATCCAAGAACATGGGCCGCCAGTGCCTGGCTCTCTCTCTTTTCATACTTTTTATGCTAGAACTAGAGCTTGAATTCATACTTGATGGGCCTAGGAATATAGCTTAGTGTTAGAGTGCTTACCTATCATTCAAGAAGCCCTGGGTTTGAATACTCAGTACCACATAAACAGAAAATGCCAGAAGTGGTAGAGCAAGAGCAAAAGCTCAAGTGGTAGAGCATTAGTCTTGAGCACAGAGAGGCTCTGGAACAGTGCCCACGTCCTGAGTTCAAGCCCCGGGACTGACAAAAACAACAACATAAAAAATCCCAAACCCACAAATTACCATTGAGACTAGCTAGAAATGAATACATACATACATTTGGAAATTATTAGTAGTATTGGCCAGTAACTCATCACTTACTTAATTCTGTAAAACCCTATAAAAATCTAGAAGTGGCGCTGTAGCTCAAGTGGTAGAGCGCTCGCCTTGACTTGAAGAGCTGAGGGACAACGCCCAGGCCCAGAGTTCAAACCCCACGACCGACAAAAAAAAAAAAAAAAAAATCTAGAAAGAAAAATAATCTAGGAGCAGAGTACCAGTGGCTCATGTCTATAATCCTAAATACTCAGGAGGCTGAGATCTGAGGATCAAGATTTAAAGCCAG